TGCGAGCACGCCTCTGGTCGCACCGACGACCCCCCGCGGCGTGTGCCTGCCTCGTGGGTTTCGCACCGCGTTGATGAGATTCTGGGTTGTCTCGAGTGGAAAGGTTGTAGGTGGGCGAGGAATGATGGATTGCGCATCGTAGATATTTCCTGGAGCAAGGAGAAATACGTTATATGTAAAAAAAATGAATAAAAATAGAAGTTCGTTTCACTGTGTTACTTTCTCGTCTTGTACCTTTCAGTTCGTCTCTTGGAGTGTCTTTAAATGACGAAGGGTATTTCCTTTTTTAAGTTTTCTCTACTTGGAATGTTTCTATAAAAGTAAATGTTTTGTAGAATTGTATCGACGTAGAATGGTATGCGCTTCCTTTATTATTTTGTATCCTAGACAAACTTCAAGTTTATGAGATTTATGTGAGGTTTTGCCCGAACCTGGGTTTACGATAAAAGATATTTGGAGATTTGTTAACAATTAGCTTCCACTCCTATTCCGTTAATCAAGAGATATTATGACCGCGCATTCGTGAACTTAACTTACTACGACGAAATGTCTTAACTATTTTATTAGTTTTGTTTCTTAACTTTATAATTCGCTTTATTGTCATTTTATTTGACTATAACATTTTTTACAAATAGATATAACTAACCTTTTAGAGCTCAAGTAGTAATTTATGGATGCATAATTAATTGTAACTTTTTTCTTCACCTCAATATACATATAATGAAGAGCTTCGTGGATTCATATCGAAACAAAGAACGTTTTATTGCCATCATCATTTCACCTCTTTAAAGAACATTATTTAGGAAGACTGGGCATGCCATTCTTGTTGGATAAGTGCATTTAACGAGTATGTACTACCACATTTCCTAATTACTTGCATTTTAAAAACATACTTGTTATAACAAATTTATATTTCATTTAAATTTATATGATAAAGCTTATATTATTTCTTACAAGTTATAATAACGAATTCCAATTTAAAAGCAGCATTATTTTGAGATTTTCAAGTTGTTGCAGCATTAAAAACGTAATATCACACACATCACTATACTCTATTACACTTCTTTCCATTCCTCTATTGTCATATTTTTTATTGTCCGTTTTGCGACAGTTGTGTCGTCATCTTCATATACGAAGATATAAGTTAGAAGTTTTTGTTGTCTATTACAATATATTGTCTTCGTCATTGAAGACTTATCAAGTTGACAGCCTAGCATTCTAAACACAAAACAAAAAAAAGTATTAGTATACAGATTACCATGGCTTAAAAAACTAAAAGGGGTCAAATTTTAACATAGCTCACCTTTGTTTATGTTATAAATTACTTTATTCTGTATCAAAAACTTAAACGTGAACATTAAAGTTTTTCACTACAGGCGAAGTGAAGTAGTGATAGCCCTGAGATCTACAGAACCACTGAGTTATAACAGAGCTACATAGAGCAGTAGGTGGTAGGGGAGGGGAGAGCAAATGTGATACTGTTTGTGGGGAGAGAAAAATGTAAGCTCAGAGCTTGTATTATACCATTTCATGTTTACATTTCGAAAGTGGAGTACATAATTTGTTGTAATTTTGTTACATTTCAAAACAAAACATTATACATTTTAATGTTTATTGTCTCCATTGTTGGTCCTCATAATATTCTGTTCTATATTGAGAAAATTAGGATTATCAAAATCAATACTATGAATAGAAGTTACGCTGTGACGAGTGTGTGAATCCGATTTTTAAACGTGTCCATTGATATTACGCTTGTGCTGATTTGTTCTCACTCGTAATTTTCTCTTAGATAGTCCTATATATTATAGGGCGCAATCAGAACAGGATATTAAATAAACCGTGTTTTGACGATCCAATACAGGGATGAAGTCTTCATTATAACCAAGGAGAACATTATTAAACACCAAAAAGACCCTGTATTGGATCGACAATGCAGTTTTTTATATAGTTTTTATATCTATATTTTATGTTGAGTATGCTGTAGACTGTCATCTTGATAAGTCTTTAATGACAAAGACAATATATTGTAATTGACAACAAAAACTTTTAAGTTATTTTATGTCTTTGTACCTGAAGAAGACGACACTACGGTCGTCGAAACGCACAGTAAAGGAGATGTCAAAAGTGTAATAGGCTCGTGAGATAACTTGTTTTAAATGCTTAAACATTTTTCAGGTATTATTATTATTATTATTATTATTATTATTATTATTATTATTATTATTATGACGGAAAGACGAAGGATAATGTATTTAGAATCGCATTGTACCAAAAATGAAACATAAATACCATGAAATGTCCAGGGATATAACATTCTCATCCACGCGAAATAAAAAGAAAAGTAGTAGTTTAAGGTAAATAATTTAATATAGGTCAAGTACTGAGACATTCGCACGAACATCATATCAGAGCAAACTGACCAAAATGACAGATTAAAGAAGTCAGCGAGTGAACAGGATTGTATCGAGATGTGAATCTCCAAAAGGTGAATTCTAAGTCACATTTATTCAAGGAATTCAATTATGTGAAGTAAAATGTTGGGGTAGGGTTTCTGGAGCTTAAGAAAACTTGCTCAGATCATAGTTCTTTTCCAAACGTCACCAGACGACATGCGACCAAACGACCAAACCATGCCACCAGACGACCAAACGACATGCAGATTTCCTTTTTTGTCGATAAATTAAAATAAAATGTTTTGAAGTTTGCATAAAATTTTTGACACTTGTGTTGAGTTAGAAAAGTGCTATTTGCACATGTTCGATAAAAAATATCATCATTCACTCTAATATTGTAAGTCCTTCATGGAGATACATAATTTACTGTCATATACATGTTCATTAAACATCAAAATTTAGCACAATCAACTAGTTTAAAAATGGAATGTTATTGAAAGAACTGCAATGACACAACCTGCAATGCTATGTTATAGACATTTGATAATACCTATTTCCCGATACAACCCAATGAATAAATACCAGAACTTCATCGATCTGAAAAGTAAGAAAGTTGAGATGTAGTGCGGCAGTAAACAACCGAAAGAGGTTTCATACATACTACGTCATGTAGGACTTTGACTTTTGAAATAACATTCGTACAGTGCAACAGAATGTCGCACTGGACGAAATAAATAAGAATTGTGAAGACGCCCCAAGTGTAAGCACCCGCGTGAGCGCGCTGGGCTGCCACACGTGCAGAGGCCCTAAGCTTCTGGCGGCCGAACTGAAGCGCTGACTGTTGGCTTCCGCGTCCCGGAAGGGCGAAGGAGCCTCCACAGAACTCCCGACGCGGACGGCGCGGCGGCTGCCAGCCGCGCCCGCCCGCTCCTTCGCAGAGAGACATTTCCTCCTGCCGCCCCCGTCGCCCCCACCGCGCCCCCGCCCCCCCCCGCCAGCCCCACGCGCCGAGACGCCCGAGCGCCGCGGACGCTCCCGCGCCCCGAACAAGGCAGGCGCGCGCTGACGTCACTTCCCGCGGGTCCACGCGGCCGCCTGGCCGAGGCCGCTCCAGCATCTGCGGTGCGCGCTGGCGGAGGAGGAGGAGGAGGAGCCGCGGAGGCAGGGCGAAGGCAAAGGCGAAGGCCGAGGAGGAGGCGGCTTGCTCCGCCCGCGGCACACGCATCTCCTCCCGGTGGCTGAGCCAGAAGTAGAAATGGAGGAAGTTGCGAAGAGGAAAGAGGGAAGGAGGAAAAGCAGCAGGAGATGCCGATTGTACAGACAAGTTTGAGAAGAGGGTGCGAGCGAATGCTGTGAGTAAAATAATACATTTGTTGGAGGAAAGAAATACGGGATTAGGAGGCTTAGGCATCAATTGATGCCACTGCAGTGCTCCTGACAGGGAAGTCGTAGCGTTCCAGTTTCATCGGTCGCAGCATTTTCGACACAAGGTTGATAGCTAGGTCGAATTCAACTGCTCTCAGGACGAAATTGTAGGGGCCAGCTGCTCTAATTGATATAGTGTGTCGTGGTTTCTCCGATAAAGGCGAGCTGACGTTAATGGGCCACGGACCGCGCGCGATTTTTCTTTCTTCTTCCTTGTTGCATCGTCACCCCTTGCACACACACAAGACATACATGTATGTGCACTGCACTATCATACATATCAGGGGACCAGTCAGGAGCGTAGAGCTTGTCCCGGCTGGAGCGGTGCCTCGCTGATGGGAGATACATGGTGTGAGAAAACCCCTCAAGCCGACGTGTAGTTCGGCGACGAATCTCTCCATGAAGCGAGTATGTTAATTGCCATTTCCCAGCGAAAAATCATTTACTACACTTACGGAACTAATGACCATATCAGCTGACGCGCCCAGAAACCCCAATCAATTGTAGGAAAGAAGTTAAGAATTCATTTTACACAACGATACCAGGAAAGGAGAGACGACAGGATACTCAAACAAACAGAACAGTGAGCTATTGATGATAGGCATGTGGACAGGAAGAATTTGAGAAGAGAAAAAAAATGAAGAAAAGGTTATTGGTGCGGGATGGTGACTGCAACGAATGGTGAGATACGAATGAGATGCGTTTTACAATAACAAGAGGTACATGGGAAAACGAGAGAATCGGAGAGGTCGACTTAAAATATTGAGACAGCAACACGAATCAAGAAGAGCGAAAGAACGAGAAAGAAAAAAAAGCGACAGAGGAGTGGATGGGCCGGAGATGAAGGTGGGAAAGTGGTAAGGCAGCGACAGGGGCCGACGCATTGACACAGGCCGCGTCTGTGGAAGCCCCGCTAGGCAGCGCTGCCGCAGCTTCCCACGGCGAGGGCCGCCCGCCGATCGCCCGATAAGCATCGCCCGCGGGCGGCTCCCCCCTTCGCCCTCCACCCGCCCTCACTCCCGCCTCCGCCCGCGCCCGCGCGCGCTCCCGCTCCTGCACCCGCGCCCCGAACCTTATGAATATGAATGTTAATTTAAATTGTTTTCTCATTTATTACGCACAAATTGCAGCCTCCAAATTTCATCTTAAGAGACATCTTGATTTCAGATAATAGAATAAAAAATGTGGATGCTTAATAAATCAATGTATTTGAAAAATACGCGGCGCGGCGCGGGCGGGGGCGGGGTGGGGGTGCGGGCGGGGACGGCGTGCGGCCGCTGCGAGGACGCCGTCGCTGCCGAATGTGTGATTATGTAATTAACCGGTGAAACGTCCGACGCTACAGGAGCTGCCGCTCAGCCTTTTAGGAAGATGAACGACTCGCCAGATTTATTGAGTGTCTTCTAAAGGATTTTCAGTCTGTATATGCATATTGAGAAATGCGTGGAAGCCGTCCGCCTGCTTTCTAACGTAGTGTTCGCGTGAAGATTTAAGTGTTTTGTGATACATATTAATTGTACTAAGGATAACCATTCATTCATTTGATTAAATTTCTAACAGTGACAAATTCTGAATTATTGCATGACCATGTTGATTCGGAGGGTTTTGTGTACTCTTATTTTAGAACTGCTACGTAGTACAATTCCAGTATACTCGCTGCACCCCTAAATTGCTCTCTGAATAATCTTTCTCAGTTCCCCATCGTCCCTGTAGCAGTGTCCCAGCGCGTAATACGAATCGTGGTAATTTCTTCTGAATCTATTCTCTATTAATTTTATCTCTCTTCTCTTCTTTGCCCCCCTCTCTCGCCCTCTCCCTTCGCTCCTCTCTCATTTTTCTCTCATTCTCTTTTCCTCCAGTTGTCATTTCTCATAAAGATCTATTCCTCCAAGTTGGCTGAAATCGTCTTAGTTTATTTTTTATCAATCCTCTTCTGCATACAGAAATCTTGATGATCAGTTTCTTGCAAGTTATTAACGTCATAAATAAAATAAACTGTGTCTCGCTTGCCAGAAATACAACTACTTCTAATATCAACAAAAATCAGGGAACCATCGTAGCATTCACTCTAAAGATAGATGAGAAGCAGACGGAAATCCATAATTTACATGGAAGTCAAATGATATGGGAGGTACCATTATCATCAACAGCATTATTTCTAGCATTGTGACCATGTAGTTCTGATTCTCCAGCCCTTGCAATCATACCATCATTCTTTTTCCATTCCCAATGGAGGAAAATATTTCTTATTTATTTCAATTTATCTTCACAATTTCGAGGAATAACGTTATTAATGAGGATGACTTACTCTTGATTGGTCTTTCAGAAAACAAATTCTACATGGAATTATTGTAATGTACTGTAATATTTTATTACTAATATTGATTGTAATGTATCTTTATATTAAAATAGTTTCCACTGATTTTATAGACAATCACATTTATTTTAATCATACACGTATTATCTTATTACAGCATAATTTGTAATCTTTTTAATTTGTAAACTGCAGAAAAGCTGAATAAATCAAGTTGTAATAAGATAATACCTGTATGATTAAAGTAAATGTAATTGTCTGTAAAATCAGTGTAACCTGTTTTAATATAAAGATACCGTGATATCTGTATAACGCGAACATAAGTTCTCTTTTAAAGGTTGTATTACCCTACCCCGTTCAATACCGATTCAATGACTGGTAGTTAAGTTCGGCCCGGCGCGGTGCACTGTGAACATGCCAGCGAGTGGCGTAGCGGGGGGGGGGGAGACCACCCTGCCTGGCCGAAGTGCCCTCCGTGTCGCCTTTGCCTACGCGGGGCCCGTGTGTTTATCACCCTCGCCCAGCAGCATTCGTTTCATTGCTCCTCTTGTCACAATTTATTGCCTTCATTTCCATTTAATTGGAGACACGGTGACACATCGAGAAATGGGTGCATTGAACAGGCAAATCACACTCTGCTAGCATGCATTTTTAATGAATAATAACACCTACTCCGCAGATGGGAAAATGTAGGCGATTTATTAATGTTGAATAAATATTTCATTGACTTCGAAGGGTGCGTGCTGAACTGAAGCGTTCGAACAACGGTGTTGTGAAACATTGATTAAAGGACGGTAGGCTTCTACCTTAAAGGACAATTCTACAAGATTGTGGCTAGATAACCTGCAACCCAGTATTTTTTTATTTACTTCGGAACCTCGCATCAAAAATTCCAAAAGTTATGTTTTCAATTGAGTTATTATCGGTATTGAGTTGAAAACATGTTATTCCCATTCATACTTCCAACTCAGATGTTGAAGAAATATAAAATTAATTTAATTAACACATGCGCCTTCTTACCAGCAATGTTGGCTGCTTATGCACAGCTGCTTATGCATATGCGGTTTCAGCTAGAAACTGCTTTGTAAAAGTTTGGTTCAAATATTTGTTCCAGTGTGTGTGCTCGTGCAAGTGGACAATGGGATGCTTGCACCCAGGAGGAAAGGAAGCACTTGCCGTTCCAGACAGAGAGAGAGAACTGCAAAAAGGCGGTGGTGAGTAATGGAGAAATTTAGACGCAATTCTATCGTTATTATTATGCTTTCAAATTTGGGTCCCAGTTGGAGTTCAGAACATCTACATTTGAAAATCTATAATCAGTATAGTTGTCTCTGTATGTTACATGGCGAGGAATCGTGACCGGTTCGCACATTATCCCTTGTACCTTGTTTGGAATCATACGTCTTTTTATTTGTAAATTTTTTTTACGATACAGATGTTATTTCTAATCCTTCCAATGCTTAATAAACAATATAACTCATTTTACAAATTTTAATATAGCTAATATGGATTTTGTGGTGTGCTGGCAGAATTGATCCTATAAAGGATTTACGATTTTTTTTCTCTACTTATTTTGGGTTTTATTCAGTTTTAAGTTCCACATTCAGCTGCAACGCCCAATTGGCAATTCGGCAATTAGTACTAGAAGCATCGTGCACTGTTGACTCCGTTTATATTTTTCCCACTGATATGGCTGTTCAATGTATAATGAAGATTAACGATACCATTTCCAAAAAGAAACTAAAAGTAATAAATAATATATCATCAAAAATTACTTTGTAATTAATAATTCTGAGATAAAACTGGAAAAAGTAGAATCATCTACGTAGGTCAAAACTTTTCAAGTATTCATATTTTTAAGGAATACAATTTTGGAACTATATTATAAAAACAAATATAAAAAATAATTTAATTTTGTTTAGTGTCATGGAATGCATGACATCTGGTTTAAACTTGTAGGATAATTTTAAACGTAATACAAAACGCAATTATACATATGATCCCGTACAGGATTGACTTAATTCTTAATGAAATAGAGAGCAAGAAGCATTCGCATTGTAGTGAAAAAATTGGTGACCACTACCTGCTAATCGTTTGCATTTGACCAGCGATGAGTGGCTCTACCTCAACGCTGTTCGCAAAGAAACTCATGGTTACGACACTGTAAAGGGGTTGTGAGCGAGTCAGCTGGGACACTAGGAAACATCTTGGTCAGGAGCTGCAACAAAATCCCAAAACAGAAGGAAAATAATGGTGTTTTTTTTAATTCGAGAGTGTAAAATCCAGATTAATATTATACGAGAGTGAAAGACCTGTGAACTGTTGAGGCATTTGCGACTCACTTTCATAAATACTTCATATGCTTTGATTTGTATGGTTGGTGCAAATTTATCCCCTAGTGATCAGCCGAAATACGTCATTTAATTTCTGCTGCTATAGGGCATACGGTGTTCATCATAAAGTATTGACCAGATCATCTTGGTACTTTCAAAGGCGTGGCAGAACACTTGGCAGCGTGCTGCACGATCAGAAGGCAGCATAAATATTTCAAGCATATGGAAAGTGAGCGAGTTCTTAGTATTTCTGAGCGCAACTACTGTAGTCATTAGTCCCGTGAGAGTAGTGTATGTTGTGTCCCTGGAGGAGGCAGTGTTTCTTCTCCGCTGAAACATGAGATCCGACGCCGACATATCCGTTTGCTTCTTGCCGTCGTGTGTGGTAGTGTAGTGTAATAATAAGGGAGAGTAGGAAGCCAGGATGAGGAAGGAAATAATGCTCACGGTTCGTGGCCCGTTTGTTAAGGGGTTTCTCCAGCATTCGCCTGATATTGATAGAGAAACGACGTAAAACTATCTAACAGAACACCAGCCTGTAAAATTCTTCTTCAGTGATTGAATCCGATCTAGGTACGCACTGTCGAAAACTCGCCATAGACTCAAACCTAGGAGCTCCCGGCCAGCGACGCAGCAAAGACGACTGTAATGCTGCCGCTGAGCCATTGCAATTTGCAGATAAGCTGGAAACGAAAGTGAATAGAAACTGTACCAAAATATGAATGGAAGCGAAAAATATCAAGAAAATCCAAATAATAAAAGATAATTCATACGTTTCCAGATGTTAGCTTTTAAATTCGCTATCTTGAAGAGTATCATTTCGCGATCCACAGCCTGTAACAGCATCGCTGAAGATTCATGAGAGCCTGCGTGAGTATTAAACTTGAGGCGCCCGCCTCAAGCCCATTGGCTAGTCGTCCCCGCCCCCATCTTTGCCCTCGCCCTCGCACCGTGGAGTCGCCAGCTGCGACCGAGGTGTTCGTCAGTTTTGATAATCGATAGCTCATGTAGGGTAGTGGCGCCAGAGTGGTCGCGCCCCCCTCCGTCACACGGTCTTCGCTGCTCGACACCGCTCCCTGGGGAGGAATGTGTGAAAAACACGAGGAGACTCGGGAAGAATAAAGCGATTGTTCTAGTTCAAGAACCATTTTTATCTTTAAGAAAACCTCAGTGCATCGCTCATGAAATTCATCTGTTTCAACTTTTAAGAACGGAGTTACATTGCTTTCTTAAATGATGCGCTATATCGATTCCATGGACGTTTCGTGTTGTGCTCCTTCATTCTAGTTTTGAATAACTTTCTAATTGAATATAGTGATAATCTTATCTCGACAATGCATACATTTACAGTTATTCGTTTTATATTACTACCAAACATAAAAAAAATATTTCCATAATTCAACTGATTTCATTGAAGTTTTTCCTATATTTATTTATTAGATTGTGATGGTAATAATGATTTCTAGTACACCAAGAGACTGAGACGCGTTGAAGGCCTCCTCATTTGTTGTGATTACTGGACGGGAAGGGGTCACCATGAGTGAAGTGACGACAGTCGGACGAACAAACGGACAGACGGGCCGACGGACGGACGGTAGGTTAGTCCAATACTATACAAGGATAGGTAAGAAATAATTAAATTTTTTTATTATGTACGTAAAATAGTGCTAATGAACAACGACGGTGCAATATCTCTATATGATATGTCTGTGATAAGCGTACACAGCCAGTGTTGCCACAGTATCTTGGCTCGTGAAGTTGAACGCAACTTTCCGGAACCAATTACCACATAATACGCTCCCTATCTTTGCCCGTCGTGGATCTCCGGCAACAACTGCCATATAGTCGCCACCTCCATCTCAATCTCCACAGCCCTGTCTATCTTCACTGCCGCGTCCACCTCCAGTTCAGTAATCTCCTCTACCATCACGGATGCCTTTATATCTTCAGCCGCCTCTTCCTCCACCGCAGTCTCCACCTTTGCTTCCGCTGCCATACCCACCTCCGTTTCCACCTCCACTACAGCCTCCGTCTCCACCTACACCTCTTCCTCCGCTGCCGCCCCCACATCTGCTTCCACCTCCTCCGCAGTCTCCACCTTCGTTTCCACCTACGCCGCCGCCGACCCCGCCCCCGCCCCCGCCACTGCTTCCACCTCCTCCACAACCTACTCGTCTATCTCTACTTCCGCTCCTGCCCCTACCACTGCTTCCATCTCTGCAGCCTCCGTTTCCTCCTCCACCTTTACCTACACTTCAATCTCCACCTACACCGTGTTCACCTCTGCTTCCACCTCCTCAACCTCCAACATCGCCTCCACCTCCATCTACATCTAAATCTCCATCTCTACCACCACTTCCACATACACCTCCGTGTCCATCGCCGCTCTCACCTTTGTTTCCACCTTCTCAGCCTCCGCCTCCATTTCCTCCTACATCGCCGCCTCCCCCGCCATCCCCTCCTTTTCGACATCCAGCTCAGCCTCCGCATGCGTCCCCACCTTTGACTCTGCGCGCACCTTCCGCTGCGCCCTGTGGTTCCGGGGCGGACGCTCGCCCTCGCCCGCCGCAGCCGCAGTTGCAGTGCCCGGCGGCCCCGCCGCCCTCTAATTGCCTGCGTTCTGTGGGCCCTCGCCCTCGCCCTCGCGCTGCCACTTGGGGCACCTGGGCGTCGCGATCGGAAGTTCACATTCCGGAAGGGAGATCTTGACCGGGTTTTCCCTTTACGGCGCTCAGATTGGGTAGTCCACTGTGAAGCACTTTCTCTTCATGATGTGCGCTCTTCTTGCAGTTGATAGGCTGTAGTCACTCTTTCTGGCTTCCTGGCAGTTTCAAACCTGTGCCAACGCGCCCTAAACGCGTCGACCGTCAGGGACGTAAGCAGCTGCCATTTATTGGCTGCAGAGTAAGACCTTGCCTCAAATAAATTCTGTTTGTAGTGGCGTTAATTGGCATCTACACTTCCATTGCTGCCCGCTTCCCCACGGGACCGACTTCAGCTGGACCTATCACCTCCCCATTAGAACAGCGGAGTACCACGTTAGGTGCGCTACAGTCGCCCGGTGCGGCTTTGCGTACAGTACGTCAACTTTGCAGAATTCAAATTTACGCATTTGACGTAGTATGCAGTAATGAATTATTTATAATAATAATAATAATAATAATAATAATAATAATAATAATAATGATAATGATAAATGTCGGTGTGTAATTTAAGAAACTTTACATTTTTCATGAATGGTATTCATTAATTACACATGCGTCTACATTGAGAGTCTTTTTTTTCTTGGTCTTTGTTCGTGAAGAGAACTCGTACTGCATCCTTTCAGCTTCTCCATAAACGACAGTGTCAATTGAACTAGAAATTATCTGGAGCCAAGCATAAACAACAAAAGAGATGTATCGAAAAATTCAGAATGTATCGAGACGACTAATGGAATTTTCATTGTTTTATTTCAATAATATAATTAATGGTACCAAGGTTAGTTTTAATTGCATTGTATTAGTGTTAATAATATGTAAAAAAATAGATTAACATTTAGACGATTTTGATGATAACACAATCATTCACAAATAATTCATGTGAAAATTTATTCACATTATTAGCCAGTTTCATTTTGAAAGTAATTTTATCAAACTACTTTCAAAATGATTACATAAATACTTTAATGAAATAACATAAATACTTTAACTAATGAATACAAATCATGAATACTTTCACTGATTTCACGTGAATATTGTTGAATAACGGCTTTGTGATCTCCATAACCAACGCTCCCCTTTTATATTCTATCAACCTTGATGTCATCCTCCCGGCAAGAAAATAATACGTTTCTCCCCCACTGGGAAAACTCGAGCCATTCGTCGTCTCGCCCACTTGCACACATTCACGCCCTCCCTCGCCCTCGCCCTCTCCCTCGCCTTCCACGCGCCTCGCAGCGCTCTGTAATTGCCCAGCTTTTTTCCACAGCTTGACCTCTGCTGGTCAACTCGGTTGACATAATTTTTAAAGATTGGAAGATCACATTCCCTGAAATTGCTTTACGACGCCATTTCTCCCTAACCACGTATGACAATAAAGCAGAAGAATGATAGTTTTCTTTCTGAACGTGAAATACTTGCTTATGCAAGAATACCGTTGCAAAGAAGTAGCATTTTACACAGAATTTTCAGTCGCGTTTGAAGGGGAATGTCACAAATCATTTTCCAATGGCAATCCTTTTTATGGCATTAAAGCGCAATGCTTAACAGCAAAACATAGGGACGTATCAATTAATTTCATTCTGGATAATTCTGCTCAGTGTAGCACATGTTCTTTTTTTCAAAATTACTAGTAGCATCGTGATTTATATCTTTCTCTGTGCATCGTTTTTATTTCATATTTTATATCTTTTTTAAGAAATAATAGTTATTTATTTTCATGTTATTTTATCGTCTTAACGGAGTCATCACATTTGCAGCTCTTTCATGTCATATTATAGTTCGATGCAGTTTCCTCATCGATTCGCCTTTTTCCCCCTCGCCCTCCAGTAATGCCTCGCTACGCATTCCTTTTTCCACTTGGCTTGCCTTGCCTCTCCTTGCACGCTTCCCCTTGAATTGCCTTGAATTTTCTTGAATCGCCTGCTCACC